CAAGTATGTGTTCCACATCCAGAAGGAACTTGCCCCGTTTCATGGAGTGCAGTAATCTGTGAACACCGCAACTTGCGAAAACATCGAGAACAAACAATCAATGCATTGTGAAATCTCCCAGCGAATGATACTACTTGCATCTTCTTGGGCGTGCCCCACAGCGGAACCTTACCCCCCTATGCCTACCCGGGACACCAGCGCCTGTTTTGAACATTGAAACAAACACCAGTCTGCCCTTTGAGACCTCTGCTCTCCCAACGACCACAATCAATAATCGACGCCGCTTCGACTTTCGTCAACATCATCATACCTGAATCAATAGGGAACAAGACACCTCTTTGTCCTTTTGCCCAGGTTAACTTTGCTACAGCGTCGTGATGGCTGTCGACACGATTGTTTCCCAGCCAAGTCTGGTGGCCGCCTTGCAAATATCCGACCAAGCACGCGACCAGGCTCACACACTTCTTCGCCTGGCAGACGAGGCCAGTGACTCTCATATCTCAGCCGAGTCACAGGCTGAGATTGCCAAGCAGCAGAAGCATTTGTTTACTAGCATATCACAACTTCGCGGTCTACATCGGGACGCTTGCATCTCCGCCCGCGAAACTAAAGCCCAGACTGCCGAAGCCCGTCAAGAGGTCGACCGTCTGCATCTTCAGCTGCAGAACCTTTACTATGAGCAGCGACATCTTCAAGGCGAGATATCGGCTTGCGAATCATACGAGTATGTCATGTCTTGTTACGTGCCCTTGGTCTGCATAACATTTCGAGGCCCCAGCTAATTTTCCTGCTTAGCCACAAATACCAGCAACTGCCCCTTATTCCTGTCGATGAATTCCTGGCCCAACACCCCGAACATGCCGATGATGACGAGGATGAGCTCATGGTGGCGAGAATTGACCATGAACGCACAGAGCGTGAGGCTCTAGAACAGCAACGTCAAGAGTTGCTGAAACGAAAGCAAAAACTCATCGCAGAGAATAAGAGGCGAAAGGACGACTTGGCTAACTTGGACCAAGACCTTGAAAAATTTATCGATGTAAGTGATGTTGCTATTCTCGTTACACTGGATCGTCTCTGGAATGTCGCCAACACTTTACACCAGGCCGCGAAACCAATTTTGGAGCTTTTTGAGAAGGCACCCTGAGGGGGAAAAGAAACAAAAAGACACAATAGGGATCGCGCACTATACAAGAGCTTGCCGTCTGGGACCGTCTGCCTATTCGGACCGAACTTGGCACGCCATCTTGTTATGCATAGCCCAGGGTCCGATCTACGGAGCACATGATACCGTATGACAAAGAAAGAGCACCGTCACATGGTAAATATATAGTTACGGAATCATTCGAATGAGATTCCCGAACTCGGTGACGAATTCTACCAGAGAACAATCATGCTCTTTCTAGCTCCGACAAGGGACGGTCTTGACGGATCAATCATATCTCTGGATGAAGTAAATTATCAAGTGGTCTCGAGGCCGACAAAAGATTCCTGCCTTTCCAACCACCCTTTCAGGAACATCCCTGTCTCTGCGGCCCCCCGCAACAGCCTAGCTGTCTTCAGTTATTTATATCAAACACCGAGGTCGAACGCCAATATCTACTTTTACGGTGCGATATTGAGAATCGACGATGAAATATTAAGCCGGTGTTTGTCAATATTTTTGAGTCACAAATGATCGGGCCAACCTGCATATATCTTTTGAAGGACTGAGGCAAATTATTCATCACTCCGCTGGATAAAGCTGTTGACGAGAAGAGTCACTATTCGCGGACCAATACAATCAAATTTCGGACAAAACCTCCTCTTCTTTCTTGACAACAAGACCATACATGAAGCCATGTGACCACTTTAATGTACCGTGAATGTATCGGATACGTCGTAAGTACATGTCCTTCAGAGATATCCCCCCTTTTGAGGTGGTGGTAAATGGAACGGCATTCCAACATCTACAGGGCTAGAGTTTCAAGTGGTAAAAGCTCAATGTTCGAAGTTCTGGACGAGTCGCTGCACACACGTGGTTGAACAGCTCATTTTCTGTGATTTGGCCAAACTCGAGAGTACCATTATGAAGTCGTCTCCGTTTTAAATGGTTCGTCATCCGTTACGTTGGACTTGAGACCTCCTCCGTTCACCGCCAAATTTCGCTAAATCACGACTCAGGTTATGCCAAAAATCATTGCGAGAGGCTTAAATTGTTCCCAACACAAATCGGTCGCGATGGCACCTGACCCCGCAACTTTTCTGCGTCGGCTTTGGAGAAAGAAAAAAGGCCAGGCCAATAGCGGCACCGCAAACCGCCATGCGGCCATCAACCGGCATGGGTCTACTCACCACTGAGGAAGCCTCGTGGGTCAGACTTGAGTTGCGATTGACGACCACGATGGAGGAAATGTGCTCAAGTGCACGGTGACGCCAGACAACGTTGGCCAACAGGGGTCAGCTAGCGAGAGGTAACCCCAGTCCTGATCACCGGTAGCAATACTACGACAAACTGATAAAATAAGATGAGGATCAGATTATACAGTACAGTCTGTGGCAGAATACATTTGCCCATGAAGAAGCATACACTACTACTTCGTCTACGGAGTACTGTAGTGTACTATAGCATGGAGCGCGACGGCCACGTACCTGAGCTGGTTAAATACTCTGTTGCCTCTGACGTATGCTTCCTCGACATTGTCAGCTGTCATTTGCCGTGCAGAATCAAAAAGTGATTTGCGCTGTAAGCGGTTTCGGCGCGATTAACGCGAACAACCTGAAAATGGGTATCATGTACATAAGATGCCCGTACGAGTGTGTTCTGGCGACGGATCTCCATTGCCGATGAGCCTCCCCACAGTGTTTCATGGGGATTCCCGACGGCACTTGCCTCTGGCTACCAATAGTACACATCAAGGACAACACCAAGACTTGCAATATGTTTAGAATGAACATGACGCCAAGTTGGACAGAGAGGCGACGTTCTTCTTGCCACTAAGCAACGAGAAGCGCAACGACAACACCCGCTGAACTGGGTACAGGGGAATAGTACGATACTTTCTGGGAATGTGCGGCACGAAATAGACGATCTTTTACATAATGCCGCAGCCTCTCTCAGATGTTGCTTTTGTTTGCTGATCATGATTTTCACGGCTTCAAAATATGGTGTTGTCACTGCTTAGATGGATAACATGGCCTCGCCTCGTCACAGGAGTGGCAGAGCAAAAAGCAAGCAGGCGCTGCTTGGCATGGCATGATGTGGCATGAAAGTTATGAAGCCTCTGGCAGCAATTTCCTGGGGCTGATCGGGAGGCAGCCAATTCAACGGTCACGGAGCAAAACAAGACAACCCGAACGAGACGCCAAGTTCACTCGGCTGTGTTCTCAGTGTCTACCCAGAGCTCAACATCCCGACTCCCGAGTACGTTAATAGGCCTATCACAACCATGGAGTACAGTGCATGGGCAAATGATGTTGTACGTACCACTTCAAATGTTGATTTCGTCGTGGGTTTGAGTTCCCCCCAGACATGTGTACCTGGAACCTGACTTGGTTCGCCTCCAAGCCTCTAATAGAACTGATCGTCGCCTCCGCCCAACAGCCAAGCCTCTAATTGGGTAGTTGACCATCCTGGGCCCTTGGCAACCTTGAAGCCACTCACTGGGCGACGATGGATAAGAGCTCCAGCTGGCGTCAACCACGTTCAGCAGAGCCAAAGCCTCAACGGTGGGAGTTTGAGTTTGATTTAACACTCTTGTGTCACCCCGGGTTCGGAGGCATTGGGCCGGTGCTCTTGTGTGACCCGAGGCTGGACGTCCTACTTTGACCGCCAGGACCCGGCTGTTCGTTCAGTCTGAGACAAGGTTTGCATCGGACTCGAAGTTTTTCTCGACGGCTATTCGGTACTTCCAGTTGGTTATACAATGCATGACGGACAGATGGGATCAAGCGAACATGGCATTTCTAACCTAGCATGGTGGTAGCATTCCTCAAATGCCACTCTAATACTAGTATGTGTATGGAAAGCTGGTTCTGTCTTCACCTTACACGTATATTCATCACGCACTTTTTTTTTTAAAAGCTACCAACTTCATACAACTTATGACAACTCAGAGATGCCAGGCAAAGACGCCTCGTTAGCTTCCACGGACCCTTGTTCTTGACTGCACCTTGCCCTGCCACTTGCTTCAATCGCAACGGCTCGCGCGTTCTTACAAAACCCTCTTGGCAAAGTCTTTCGTTGAGGCGGTTCAAAGCCCGCCCAATAATACTCTAGTGTATTGCGTGTGCTGTTGCGGCTTAGTTATAGGCCAGCATTGAAAGGGTCTGATAACGGAGCTGGAGTGTCCAGGCACCGCTTACACCAAGGGTCATTGATCTACAGACCACATCCTTAAACCATCACCGTTCAATACGGACATGGACCATGCATATTCCCAAGGCAAGTGCTAACCCTTCATTCCAACCCAGTCACACACATGTACCTTGTACCGCCTGTACTGAGGCTTGTTGGCGTTTGAACGGTGACATGTGGAACAGCCCGTCTAGCCAGCCTCTTGATGTGGGAATGGAATCCGTCGTCCAGCCTTGTTCTGTACAATTTCGTCATGTTTCCGCCCATAAATTTCTGGACAGGCCCCTGGGATGGGTCATGCGTCGACAAACTTGCCCGAGAGAGGAGCCAAGAGATCTGTGGTCAGTTTTATCTGGCCCAGGTACTCCAGCCCTCTGAGTGTGGCTGCTCTGTTTTTTTTCTTTCATCTTCACCTTTTTCGCCCTCTGCAGTCTAGGCAAAGCCTTATTGACTTTTCCGGTTACCTTGTTTGTACCTTCATGGGACAAGGCGTCTCAGTGGCTCATTCCAATATACTGCAGCCTCGGTCCCGAATTGCAACTACCACTGGCATCGTCGGATTGTTAGTTGCTTCTGGTCTGGGGCGCGCCACGAAGCTTCCCGAGCTCCGAGATTGACAATGTCCGTATTTACGTGGTGCTCGAGACGGGCCGGCGCCCTGAGCATGCTTGTTCTAATAGCTTTATGCTACTGGGTTGTCTCTCGCGAGGCGCAAGAAGAATGGCAAAGCGACGAGTTCAGCAGAGAAAACGGGCAAGCGGCTTTCAAACCGATCGTGACCCCTCAACACGGGGCGGGAATCTGGACAGTGGTATTCTCGTACTACTGTCTGTTTATCCATGGGCTCGTGTTCGTCTTCCCCGTCCGGGCATGCTGGTCGGTTTGGACCATGACCCAATCGCTCAAGAAGGCGGCCCAGAGCAAGGCAATTGAGGACTACAAAAGGACCATGGTGCGCCGTCGTGTATCTTTGACATCTGTTAGCAGCTCTGCGACACTTACCTCGGAGACTCTGGCTACGGAGAGCAATGCTTGTTCGTCAATGTTCAGCGAGACCAGTGACCATGAGATTGAAAACTACACAGATGCCACTGAATACATGGAAGATGCTGTCATTCACGCGATTATCATTCCTAATTACAAGGAGGAGATGGACACCCTCAAAGAGACACTGGACGTCCTGGCCTCGCATTCCCAGGCTCGAAATTGCTATGATGTAAGTACCTCAAAGAGAGAAGAAAACCGGCGTACGCAAGGCCAGCGTTTCACGGCTACTATCAGCATCGAGAATGCTATTCTGGCACTTGATCGAGCGCAACAATTGGGGTGGCAGATCTGCCCGTCGAGAGATAGGATGAGGCTAATGCTAGCACCAGGTCTACCTCGGAATGGAACAGCGCGAAGTAGAGTCTGAATCAAAGGCTCTCAAGCTCATCCATGAATTTGTCAACAAGTTCCGCTCCATCGACTTCTCTATACATCCTGCAGATATTCCAGGGGAGGCCGCTGGAAAGGGCAGCAATCTGGCTTGGGCTGCACGCAAACTCAGTGTCAAGTATTCGATGGGGATGAGGCAAAATGTCATTGTGACTGGAATTGATGGTACGTCCAGGTCTTTCTTGTGCATTTTGACGCAAACGGAGCTTACAAAGACTCTACAGCGGACAGCCATCTTTCATCTAGCTACTTCACCAGCATTACCAGCATGCATCATGCCCACCCTGACACAGCGTCGACGACACTGTATGCCGCGCCGATCATCTTTGATCGCAACGCCCATGCCGTACCGGCGATTGTCCGCGTGGCTGACATTCTTTGGTGTGCAGCCGGAATCTCTGGTCTCTACAAGGGCTCAGTTATAGCCCCCCCTACTTCAGTCTACTCTCTGCCTCTGATCCTGGTTGACCGTGTCGGCGGCTGGGACTGCGACGCTGAGGCCATTGGTGAAGATTTACACATGTACATTAAATGCTTCTTTGCGCTCAATGGCAACTTGACCTGTCGGACCGTGCTTAGCCCCGTAAGCCAGAGCAATGTCACGGGCGGCGGGAAAGGAGGCATCCGGGGAGCCGTGAAGGACATCAAGGCACGATATAAGCAGGCTCTCCGTCACATGTGGGGAGCATTGGATACTGGGTTCGCCCTGCGCAAGGCAGCTGAGATGTGGAAAGATCGCAAACAGACGACGAGAACCTTCAGGCCTCTTCACAGCCAGGGCAACGAATCGAGCCTGTATATTCCCGACATTGAATTCACGAGCACCGCCGACGTGTCGGCTGCGAACGGCATCTTCTCGGACCTGACCCAGGACACCATCAAGGAACCGCACTTGGAGAAGATATTCTATCTCTTCCACCGACTATTCGAGGCGCACTTTTTACCCGTCCACATGACCATTCTCGTCTTTGCTTCCGCGCTGTACGTCTGGTTTGCAGACGGCAACGGTGACCCCCACAATGTCGCCTGGATCTTTGCGGTATCCAACATGTTGCGGACCATGGGGTTCATGGGTGTAGCCTGCTACCTGTTTCTCTATGAAAGCTACCACCGAATCTGCGTAGCCTCACGCGAGAAGGAAATGACGCGTGCCAAGCTCGCAGACGGCATGTGCTTCTCTCACCGCTCGGTCAAGAAGAACTTTGTCGACTACATCCTCGTGCCGGTCGTGGCCCCCCTGTACGGCGCCATCCCCTGCGCCCAGGCCGAGATATGTCATCTTTGGACGGTGAATCTCGTGTACGCGGTCAGCAAGAAAGTCACACGGCAGAGGGCCAGGTCCAAGGCTGCAATGGACATGGCGTGACCCCGTTTGTCCAATGGAAATGTTTACTTGTGGTTTCTCCTTGCCGCCACGACTCATCTACGAGGCAGGAAGACGTGGCACTGGTGATTTCGGGATGCCTGGTTCAGCGACTCTTTGATTCACATATATTTATTTATTTTACATGGTGGTGGCTTTATGGCACAACGTGCTGCACATGACCTAATCTGCACATACTTGCATGATCTACCCGCTTCATAGCCTGGGAGTCAGCGTCAAAGAATCATGTTTCGACGCGAAGCTTTTCTTTCTTTTTCTTCTTCCAACTTCAGTGGCCGGCGTTTTTTTCGGGGGTTGGGCATCCGCGCAGTGTGCCCGGTCACTGGCTGGTCTTGCACATTCGCTAGACATTTTTGCATAGAGGAATCGATGAGCATGGGGGGTTCGGGTCGTGCTGTAATGGGGGCCCGGAAGAGGCGCGACGAGACTGGAGGTAGTTAATGTCTTGGACTAGATGATTAATATTTAATGCTTATGGATGTAGCCCTGGCTCCGGTGCGTGAGACTGGGATTTTGTAAATGGCTTCTGCCGGGCCGTCGTGTAAGTGATGATTAATGCCACGCCCCGTGATGAATATTGAACAGCTAATTATCAATGCAAGGAGAGTTGCGCTTGGATGGAACACAAATCTCGCAAGCACAGCCCGCTGTCCTGACTCCTGAGTCGTACGAATAAATTGGTTATTCGCCCACGTCAACGGTCATGGAAATGCTGACATTGAAGTTTAATCGCTTGCCTCGGCGGCAAAGGCGGAGTGGATCTCCCGCCGCCGTCTCAACTCCGAGCAGGTCCGGATGTACGTCCGCTTTGCATCCGCCACACGGCGTCGCAAATCCGATGTGTCGCGGGTTTATGGCTGCAGAAAGAGTATAAGTAGTGTTGGGGTCTTGGAATACAAATTCTTTTGCCTCGCACTTTCCCTCATCTTGCTTGCGCACTGCTCTACTCTCCCTACTGAATTGTCCACTTGGATTTAGTGGGCGGCCCATTAGAGTTGTGGTGTTAACGTGCATTATTCAATATTGCACTTCAACTTGCCCTCTTACCTCCCACATCACCCATCAACTATCCAGCAAGGAAGGACGAAAAAAGGCAAGCCGAAATGCCGTCACACATCAAGATAGGAGTGTTCATCCCCAATGGCGCTCAATTCCTCGACGTTGCATGCGTTGATAGCTTCGGCGTCATGTCCAAGAAGTACCTCGGCGTCCTCCCCTTCATCCCTTCGCACGTTTCTTCTCTCGCACCAGACGTGTCAATTTACTACGTTAGCAGCCCGAAGCAAGGGCCCGAGATTCCATTGACTTCAGGGGCTGTTCTGAAAGCTACCCACGTGTACACGGACGAGGAGGTGGCTCCGGGCAAACTGGACATGGTGGTTGTTCCTGGTCCCGATCCGACAGAGAAGTTTGCAGAAGAGGGACTCAAGTGGCTACGAGGACATGCCGAGACAGAGGGCGTGGATGTGCTGAGTATCTGCACGGGCTTGTTCATATGTGCGTCTGCAGGCATTGCGGATGGCAAAAGAGCGAGTGGGCCGAGAGGATTGCAGGATTGGTTGAAGGAGTCGTTCCCCAAGTTGAATCTAGTTGGGGACAAGTACCGATGGGTGCAGGATGGCAATTTTTGGTCAAGCGGTATGCTGCAACCCACGGCTCCTCTGATGCAAGGCTAATATTAGATGCTGGTGTTTTAGGCGGCGTTACGAATGGGAATGAGCTGGTTGCTGCATATGCACGAGCTAGTAACCGCTGGGCTCAGCCAGTTGTCGAGGCAGGTCTGATGATGACCGAGGTTGGGGACCGAGGCCAGTTCTATGAAGGTAATCAATCTGTATTCTATCTGCGTTTTGCGTGGCAAATTGTCAAGGCATGGTTTCTGAATCTGACACGACGGCAGGAGACGGCGAAGGCAAAGACGCCGTGAGCCAGTCGTGACAGAGCAGAGGACGAGGTGAAAGTTTTTTGGGGGCAATTAATCAGACGTGATGGAGTGTTGTGAGGATGCTGAAGAAACGGGGTAGAAATGTAGTATATCTCGTCGTTTTGGTGTCGGCAGGGTTGATGGGTGGTATCAATTCTCGAAGAGCGGAAACATCTCCTACTCTGGGCAAGGGCACAAGACAAGAGCCGTAAATATATATGTAGCGTAAAAACATGCCATGAAACTCTTGATTGAAATCCTCACCTCAAAAGGCATTATTGTGGACGACGAAGGACGATGAAAGGGTCTTCAGGGGCGTGGTCAAGAAAATGATTACGTCTGGTTGATTGAGAGGCAGCACTTGATATCAATTCAGACGGCATTTTCAAATGTTCACCTCAGTCGCAGTTGCCTGCGTTTGCAGGTTACGTGCTTAGATACCTAGGTACTTGGGCGGTTCAGGTGGGGCCGTTGCTGAGACAGCGCCCCAGTGCTGGTCCCACGTTGCGATAACGACTTATCGCTCTTTCTAATTGGCCAGAAGTCCAAAGCGGAGTCTCGACAGCGAAGGTAAAGAAAAATTTCCAAAGCTCGTCGCTCGCTGGCCTTGACTTTTCGATCTTCGATTTTCACACCTCGCCAGTGCCAGAGAAATATCACGTTTTGCAACTGCAGACTTCTTCGCCTTCCACCTCCACCTAATAATTCCCTCGGCGTCCTTTACACATCTTCTTGCTTCTCAATTTATAACTAGTCTAGCCAAAATGTCCGCCGTTCCTGGTCCCGTGTATGGCCTCGAGGTCCCACCTGGCGAGATTTTGATCCCGGCCGCCATGGACTTCCCTGCTTCTGTGAGTGCTATTTCTCACCTTGTCATGTTGTTATCATGTCCCAAGATGCAAGCATGAAACATGCCCTTCAGATTGGCATTTCTCTGCCATGAACTTGCGGCAAATCAACTAACCGACAAACCAGTTCCGCATCACCATGGCTGCGTTGGACCCTACCGAGGAGCCAGAGGCTGATGAAGAGGGCAACGTGCCTGCTGTTCCTCGCGCTACTCTGCGACTTGTTAAGCGGGCTTTCCCTGGCCTTGACGATGAGGATGACGACGAGGAGATCGATGACGAATATATGAAGGCTTTGCTCGCTGCCTCTGACGACGATGAGGATGAGGATGATGAGGAAGCCAACGGTGGCCCTAGCGATCCCACCAAGGCTAAGAAGCAGAAGCAGGCCGCTGCTATCAAGAAACTCCTCGAGGCTACCAAGGAGGATGAGGATGAAGAAGATGACGAAGATGAAGACATGGAGGATGCCAAGCCCAACGGTGTGAAGGGTAAGGACAAGAAGGGCAAAGCTAAGGGCAAGGGCAAGGCCACTGAGGAAGTCGAAGAAGAAGACGAGGATGATGAAGACGAGGATGACGAGGATGACGACAGCGATGACGGTGCTGACCTCGAGAACTTCGTTGTCTGCACTCTTGATACCGAGCGGGTAGGTCAATTGCCTTGATCATGTCAGTCAATGGATGTGGGGCTAACAGTAGCACGCAGAACTATCAGCAGCCGCTCGATATCACTGTCAACCACGGCGAGAAGGTATTCTTTGTTGTCACTGGTACACACACCGTCTACCTCACTGGAAACTACATCATGGATGATGAGAACGACTATGACAGTGAGGATGACGAGGAGGACTATGACTTCGACCCTGAAGAGCTGGATTACGCCATGGGAGAGGATGCTAGTGACGATGAGAGCGACGAGCTTGATGATGTTGAGGATCCCCGTGTCACCGAGGTCGACTCTGACGAGGAGGAAGCTCCTAAGCTGGTAAAGACCAAGAAGGGCAAGAATAAGCGCGCTGCCGAGGAAGCCGACGGTCTCGATGAGATGATTGCCAAGGCTGCCGACTCCAAGAAGCAACAGAAGAAGCTCAAGAACAACAAGGGCGAGGCCGTAGCTGCCGAGGAGAGCAAGAAGGACAAGAAGGTCCAGTTCGCCAAGAACCTCGAGCAGGGGCCTACTGGCTCTGGCAAGCAGTCCGGCAAGGCCACAACTGGCGTAAAGGTCGTTCAGGGCGTTACCGTCGACGACCGAACCATTGGCAAGGGTCGCACCGTTAAGAAGGGCGACACCGTTGCCGTCCGATATATTGGCAAGCTTGCTAACGGCCAGCAGTTTGATGGTATGTGAAGTCAAATCTACTTGTTCTCATCTGTTCTATCATGCTAAGTCATGGAAATAGCCAACAAAAAGGGTAAACCCTTTTCCTTCAAAGTCGGTAAGGATGAGGTTATCAAGGGGTGGGACATTGGTATTGCCGGCATGGCCATTGGCGGTGAACGTCGTTTGACCATCCCTGCAAATCTTGGATATGGCTCTCGTGGCATGCCTGGCATCCCTGCCAACAGCCAATTGACCTTTGATGTCAAGCTTCTCGAGATCAAATAAGTCAGAACAGGCTCCCGACTTGATGTATTCATTTCTCCTTTGTTCTTGGTTTTGCATGTAAAAGAATATCCCGGGCGCCCAACTCTGAGTTGATACTGGCACGAGCTGGGTAGCGGCGTTTGTCACGTTCCAGGTTTGGAATTTCCATCGTAAGACCCACTGCGATGCTGAAGAGTCTTGGACCTGTCTCCTCTGTTAGGATTTGCGGACGTGTTTGATGAATACTGAACGCAATAATGCAGTTGGGCATAGAGGGGAGGATGAGGCGATGATCCGCATTTGCATGATTGGCGTATCACTGAGCAGGGCGTTGTCGATAGCATAGACCGCCGCTGATGGATGTATTGAGTGCCTGCTTCAAGGATTCTGGCGTACTTATACAATAAAAGCAATGTTTGATGGAAGTTGCGTGACATGGGCCGAGACACATGCCGAAGATGCTTGCGACTATATACCTTGACATAGAACTATTTATTACTTGCTGATGTGTAGCCAGGGAGTTGAGGAAGCCGTGTTAACACATGTCCTGGGGAGGCAAGAGCCATCCCGAATCACGCCTACATTCGGCCAAGAAGCGGAAAGTAACGAAGCCCGAATTCACGTGTAGAGCAGGTTCAGTCTAAACGGACCTAGAAACCGAAACCTCGCCTCCTTGCCATCCGTGCCAGTCGTCCAACTTTGATCAGCAGCATTCATTCCATTTGCCCGACCCGTGGGCTGTGGAAGTCAACTCACCCGCCTACATGCCTATCGACGCATTTCAGGAATAAATATTACCGAGGTGGGTTCGGCAAAGACAGTCAGCTCTTGACATTGAAGTCGTCTTTGAGTGCCAGGCAATATGCTGCCGAAGCTGTTGAACAAGCGCAGTAGTTGCCCAGCACTGGACCCAGCAGCTAGACAGATATCGGGACCACAGCCGAATGCGGACAACAGAAAAGATGGAGAGCAAACCGAGTTGAATTCACCCAAGAATCGACCTGGGAGTATCAAAGTGTTGTCTGAGATACGCAGTGCTATCCGCGCCATCAGACAAACCACATACAATTGTACGTGCCTGCCCCCTTTTCTTGACATAATTGCTGACACCTGCCAACAATAACTAGGCTCAGACAACTCCAACATCATTGAATGGAATCAAAGGCGCTCTTCATCCCCAAATGCGGACAGAAAATACGTCAGCCATGGCGTGGGTGGGATGACACCAATTCCTTTGCACAAAGGCAGGGGCTTGTCACCAAAAGCTCTCGCTAAGCGGCTCAGATTTGAGAACTTTGGAACTTCGACCAATGCAACAGTTGTCCTTCGAGGCTCTTCTTTGCGACGGCGGACGTCTCTGCAAGCCATGCCAAGCTCTCCCTCCTTGCCTCTTGGCGATGCTGTTAGCTCGATTTCCTCGCTGGGTACTGACAAATCGTCCGTCGTTGGGAACAACTCAACTCGGAAAACATCTGTGGATTCTAGGGTTTCGCAATCAACTTCCAACAAAGCAAGTCCGAAACGACGTCGGAGCCGTAGGCATCCGTGGTCCAGATCTAGTCCGGATGCTGGCACCTTGCAAACCATCGACGAGGGGCTATATCAACCACAGCCCACAATCCTCACTGTTGAGAAGGCAGCAGGCGCCAAGGTGTATCTTGAAACTTACTTCAATAATCTTTTAAACAAGCCGAACGCTCGGGCTGCTCGCCATCAATATCTAGAATCCCAGCTCTACTACAGTCCGCATTTGGATCTAGATGAAAAGGATGTCATCAGACGATCATTTTACTACCAGGAGACGTGCCACTCAAGAGAGACACGAGTAATGACAATAAAATCTCTTCTTTCTCTCGATCGTCAAGACCTTTCATACGCGGAAAATTATGACTGCCTAAAGGTGCTTGGCCGAGGCAGCTTTGGGGTTGTCAAATTAGTACGTGAAAAAGCTAGTGAGGCACATGCGTTTCCTCGGCAAGTTTATGCAATGAAGATCATACGAAAGTCGGAGATGCTTCGGAGCTGCCAGGAGGGACATTTAAGAGCAGAGAGGGATTTTCTTGTCGCCTCAGAAGGTTCCAACTGGTTAGTGTCTCGAGTTCCCAGCAATTTCAGAGGCGGTGCCATGCTCACTAACCACGACAGGATTGTTCCATTGGTAGCCAGTTTCGATGACCTGACAAGTCTTTACTTGGTGATGGAATACATGCCAGGTGGAGACTTTCTTGGTCTATTGATTCGAGAAAACATACTGCCTGAGTCAGTGGCAAGATTCTATATTGCTGAAATGATTCTGGCGGTTGAGGAAGCGCATCGACTCAAATTCATTCATCGTGACATCAAGCCTGACAATTTTCTGATATCGGCATCGGGACATTTAAAAATATCGGACTTTGGGCTCGCATTTGACGGACACTGGTCTCATGACCTTTCATATTACAACTGCCAGCGTTACTCTTTGTTGGGCAGACTGGGTATCCGTGTGGATGGCGACGCAGAGGATCGAAAGAAGTCTGCCAATATTAGTTCACAGATACCCTGGCTGCAAGCAATGAAGGAAATTTTGGACCGCCACGAACGGAAGAGTGTAGGAAACGAAGACGATTTGCCTAGCCTTCTGGGCTAGAGAAACAGATGCGGCAACCGTGTCTCAGCGAATTCTGTCGTCGGAACGAGCCAGTACATGGCACCAGAGGTGATCAGAGCTTGTAAAGGTTCTGAGTATGATGGAAGGTGCGATTGGTAGAGCATTGGCATCATTCTATATGAGTGCCTTTATGGGCATACCCCTTTCTTTGCCGACGACGGTCGAAAACAGACGAAGAGCAACATCTTGGTAGGTTTCACCCGAGTTCCCCGAGGTTTAGGGACCAAGGATTTCTGATGATCATATTCCTAGGATCACAAAAAGATCTTCTCGTTCCCACATCGACCTTTGATTAGCGATAAATGCAAGGACTTGGTATATCGGCTGATTCAGGACAAGGAGCTCCGGCTATGCTCGAGGCGCTACCAAATGAAGGATCGCTGCCAGGTTGACAATAAACGATACACGGATGTCTTTGGAAGACATGTATTTCCAGATGATGCGGAAGATATCAAGTCTCACCGCTGGTTCAAGAATTTTCCCTGGGACCGTGTTCATGCCATCAACCCACCATTTGTGCCACACATAACTAGTCTCGATGACACTCATTATTTTGACGAGTCAGATCCTTTTACAGAGCCCATGGCTTCCTCTGAGAACGAGACAGTGGACCCGACACCTGATCATATTCGCTGGGTGCTGCGAGAATGCCGGCCTGTGGTTCAAAATTTGGCGATTGAGCTAATTTCAACCCCGTACGATTCGACAAGACTGCGTAGTGCTGATCGCAGAATTGATAGAACTTTCAATATCACGCCTGAAGAGCGCAAGACTCTCAAAACATTCATTCGTATGTATGGAAGAAAAGAACGAAAGCGACCCAGAGACATATTATTGCGAGATCAGAGCACCAAAACATTGGCCTTGGACGTGAGAAAAAAGACGGCATTCATGGGGTACGGGTGGCGTCGGATGCGTCCCGGGGGGTACATAACGCCAAATTTGGGGAAATACGAGATGGCGGAGCTCTAAACTCAGCGAAGTGTTAACAGTTGAAGGGGGGAAGCGCGAGCAACTCTTAGACGAGTATGAGATCCGAGTATGAAGACTGAGAAAATGAATTACTGGTCGCTGGACCATAGTATTATTAGTATTATAGAATATTATTCTTTTTTCTCCTCCCCTTTGAGCGTATAACAGAACTTGGTAAGTGGTATGACTACACCTTAAGATGACCCGCGTGAAACGGCAGCGGCCCTGGCATTTTGGACCTCCCATTCAAATTCTTTGAGACCACGAATCTCGCCGGAGAAGAACAATAAAGCCAGGAGACCGTCTATAACACCTGTGGCCAAGCCTAGGCTGGCTAACAGCATGAGGAGGAAGGAAACGAAGTTGCGCGGACTGAACCACACAGCTACTAAGCAGCCAATCCAAATAAGTACAGACGCGTAAAAGTGAAGACCACGCCAGTATCGCTGCTGCCTTTCTCGAGAAGTATACTTTTTTGTCAAGGCGAGAATCTCGTCATAGTCGGAGAGGGTGAGCCTGCAAGTATGTTCTTCATTATAGCGAAGCTGTAAGTCATGTTCGGTGGGCTTTTGAACAGCACCGCCAGAAAGAGTGTGCCGTTGAAGAGTGGTCCGGACGCCAAAGTGATCAGACAGGGAGCAATTCAACTCTGGGTGGCGACCTGTAATTTCTACAGCAGCAGATTTGACTATCCAGCCTGTTCCACCGGAGACGTCGCCTGTTGATGCGAAGACATAGTCTATGCGTTTGCCCTGGGGGTCTTTTGTATGAGGATCCACGGGGCAGGGATCGTGCTTGAGTTTCTTTTGCTCTTGTTTGCTCCATCTCCATGTGTTATAGACCGTATCACTGGCTGCTCCGTTGACAAGGAGGTTGTGCTCGGCTGTAGGGACGGGGAGACCGCGGGCCTTTTCTTCGGCTTGGTCCGATGCCCCGATGGAACTGTCAGGGTGGAGGATACGCCACGTATCCCGGATGGGGGCGCCGGATGTGATGATGCGGTAGGCGAGGGAGAGGGGGATCATGTTGAAGTCACCAAGGGCGACGACCAAGTGCCCACGGTCAGTGGCACCGCGGACCAGTTTGGCGATGTCCCATGCCTGGGCGGTTCGGTGACAGAGATACGAGTCATTAGGCTCGCTTTCATAGGGAGCATGAGTCTTTCGTACCAAGGTTTTAGCTATGCAAAGGCCGAAAAAGCCTGTCATGGATGGATTTTGCCACTTACATGTGTGTTGAAGACTTCAATGATGTCCTTTCTACCTGGTCCGTATCTCACCTTGGCTGTGGCAACACCCTTCCCGACATACCAGTCACCTCTCCAAAAAGCGGTTGGCCGTCCGTTCAGTTTGTAGGGAAACATGGAACTCTCCTCAATAGGCCAACGACTTAGGATCGCTAAACCACCCCCAAACGCACCACTGTGATAGAACTTTCCATGAGGTAGAATGGCCCGCGTAGCGTCTCGGATGGCACGGTAATCGTCCTGAACCCAGCATTCTTGGAGACATACAATGTGAGGAGTCGGCTCGAGTGCAGCTATATGTCTACCTATTTCGGCGAGGCGAGGAGTGCGAAGGGCCGATATATGGAGGAGGCCCCAGCAGTTGAGGGTCAGGAGGGTGAGTTCTGATGGAAGGGTCGGATCCACGTCATTTTCAGTGCTGTGCTGCGCTTGGCCGCTCTCCATATTAGCCAAGGGCATTGTGAGCCTGTTTAATTCAACTACCGCTTCCGTGGGTTTGGCTCTGATTCGTATTGAGTGTTGGGTGGAGGCACGGATGAGGCTCTCTAGGTTGATTGGGTGGTGAGAAATGGTTGTTGACACGTGACGCAGTAAAATGAGCTTTACAACGGCAGTCACGATGGGAGCAATTGCTTTGAGCTCAGCTAAGCAGATAACTTCTTGTACCTTTTTTTATTTGCTTTTTTCTTTCTTTCTTTCTTTCTTTTTCTTTAGCCGAATACTCTTTCTCGGAATCTGCAGCGTTTTCCCTCGTTTTCCCGTCTCAATGTGCCTTGCACGTCTCAATGGATGGTAAGCTACGGAGGAATGAAGCTGTCACTGTCTTTGGTAGCTCACGCGACACCGTCGGTCTTGCGATTGGCAGGTCCGATCCAAAGGCAAATACTGCACATTTGTGTATGTGGTCTCGACATCATCGTGAAGATTCGACACGAGGTCCTCATACGAGACTGACACTGGCACCGAAAGACGCGGTGACAAGGGAAGTTAGAACCGAGCTCTATACACCGAAATAAAAACCAGCCTTCTCGTCCTTCTCAATGGGGGACCTAGATCCGATGCAAGCGACAAATTGGGGGATTTGCCTGCCGAGTTCGGCACTGGCATCCGCCAGAAACCGACCGACATGGGAACATGGCCATTCTTGCTCCACGTACGGAGCCTGGTGGATGTTTTAAAAATGTTGGTTCTCGAAGAGAAGGCCTGGGCGCAGCAGGCGTTTGTTGTGCATCCCCGCAAAGCTCTCCTCCGTTGCCGGACTACCTCGCCGTACACCGGGCTTGGAGGAACCACGGAAAAGTGGCCGGCTTCAAAGGCTCAAGGCTCAAGGCTCAAGGCTCTAGTTCGGAATGCCCCACTTGGCCAGATCGACAAATGCGATACAGATCTCGCTTGACGCTATTCGCTCTACCGTCTTGTCAGTGGCTGCCTCGGTTCCGTCTTCCCTTGTGCCCTGCGCCTCCATCTCCTGACATGTAGCGGAGGAATCACGCCAGACCTTTGCGTCCTTTGTCCTACCACCCAGTCTTGCTGGCCGAGATCCTGGATTCCGGCCTTGCGGAGGTAGGGGCTTTCCTTTGTTGTGTCAACATATGGACCACGGGCCACGCCAGATTATTGTTATCCCTTGTTCGGTCCATGTTTTTGTAAAATTTTCATGACACACGTTACGTCTTGACGGTCTGCCACGGCTCTAGAGCATTCGGAGAAAACTGGATCGGACTTCCTTTTGCCTTCGGGAGCCGCCCTGGACGTGTCGACTCGCCACCCACGACAAAATACTGTGGGTAGGGAAAAGGCTTAACTGGTTGGTCCCTTTGCACCAGACTTCTGCAAAGGACGCCCCATAGTTCCCGATGTCCATGCCCTGCCCCGTTATCGCACCTGTGGGTGATGGTCCATGGCCTCTTGCGCCGGTGCCTCCAGCGTAATGTCCGGTCCTGTGCCCACCGATATAGCCGCCGTGTAACAATAAAGCTCTCTGCTGCCTGCCCATCTTCTCCTCCGCACTATCCCCTACTCTTGCGAGGCCCTATCCATTGACTACTTATTTCCACCGGACATCAATTCCAGCAACCCGACTTCATTTTCCACCTCGATACAACAGACATCAATATCATTGTTGTTGTTGTTGTCGCTAAAGACGCCCCAAATCGCGCCGCATTTGCTGAACCAACAGTCCCCACTGTCGACGACCAGCCGTGTATAAGACCATAATATCCCGAATCTGCCTCGCCTTGATTCGCCGCTACTTTCTTCAACATGAATCATATTATAAAACAGAAAACAACCTCCTCGGAGCTCATTCAGATCGCCACTTTAAAATTTAAACCCTCCCTTCAACAGGGAACCGAGCTGCCTCTTTCATTTCGCGACGTCTGCCGACAGCTTCAGGCGGTTCCCGGCGTATCATCCACATATTTTGGCCAGCAGATCGAACGTCCCGGAACTTGGACTTGGATCATTCGCTGGGCTTCTCTAGCAGCGCACGACGCATTTCTTGCCTCGCCCAGTTTTACGAATTGGATTGCTTCGTTCCGTGCCGTAGTGGAGACGTATATCTTCTGGAAAGCCTTGGTCCGTGGGAGTCTAAGTGCAACATTAAATGCTCCCTGCACAGAGGTCTTCACGGCCTACGGCACATCCGACACCTGGCTCGAGATGCGAATGAAGCCGTTTGCCGACAATGTCGATGCTGCCAATCTTCCAGGACACCACGGCTCATTTTACGGCCAGTACGACGTCCTCATGCATGATTCGCATGACGTCCCCGAGGGGACTACAGTAAGCATGATGCTCGGCTGGGACAGCAAAGAAGCGCATCTAGCCGAGCGTGGCGAGGGCAAAGGTGAGTTGCTTGATTTCCCGCAGCATGTGTAACAACGCTTACCCCGACCTCGCCCCCCCGACTGTCCGCCATGTTGTGCGACCGGAGAACAAAATGCTAACCGAATATCTAGTAATCGACAAAAATATTCACTATACGAGAGAAGAGAGAAGATCGGTCGACATGGTACGTTATTCTCTTGTATCCGATTGCTACAAAGCCAAGATCCCGCTTCGGCTAACTGGTGTTTCTCAAGTACCACGTCAAACTAAACAGGCTTTGATTGGCGGGCGGTTATGTCTCATGATTCTCCTTCTTTTCTATATATTCTCACCATTACCCAACCGCATCACTCTGTTGGATATCATCCTGAACTTGAGCGTTGAATTTAAACAATAAGCTGGGCTCTCTGCCAGCCTCATGCCCCGTCTATGACTATACTTGAAGATACTTCTATTGGCGACCGCGACAGTCGCGTCAAAACATCATCACCCTACACAACAAATCCTGCGGAGCGCATGGCAGTGCAACTGTACAACTCTTTCCAGTGAATTTCAAAACTCCCATACGTTAACGCGATCAACTCAAACAGACTCGACTGCGCTATTAAACAAGTACTTGGTGCAGCCCACACATTCACAGCCCATAAACTCCCACGTTTTGATCACCCGATCAACACGTTCTCTTCTCCGTCCTACGACCTTGCTCGTAAAATAAATATGCCATTACACACTACCACATTTCATGCAGCACGACCGGCCAACTAAGCCGCACCCCTAGTCCGTCACAGGGCGCACATAAACTAAGCTGATACATGCCAAGAAGTTCCTTGCCTGTGTTGTTCCAATGAACGTTAACGTTGTTGTATGACTTCGGGTTTGCCATAATTCGATAATCAAACTCGATGCTTCTCCGATTCTGGAATCAAAAGTTAGAAATACAGAACGTGAAGTAAATTGATGGGGAGTAACGGCCATACCGAGTCTCGAGTAGAGCATATACAATGCCATACGATTGCACTCCTCCGTACCCGTGATGGTGACCAGTCGCTCGTTGCTGTTGTCTTGAGGCTCATTGATTTTGATCACACTACCACTGATTTGCCGAATTTCATTAATCTTCTGGCCACCCTTGCCAATAATAGCGCCGACCATGTCATTGGGAATGAAAATTTGCTGCGTAAGAGGGCCACCGGGCATGCCATGCTGCATGGGTGGGCCCTGAGGGCCGCCATGAGGCTGGGGACCAACATGAGGAGGCATATGCTGCGTGGCATGGGGGGCACCTCCATAGGCTGCTTGTTGACCTCCATACTGCATAGGCATAGCGGGATTGGGAGGAGCAGCGTTATGCGGATAGTGTGGAGGGTAGGTAGCCGGAGGCATGTGGTGAGCCCGTCGATCCTGGTGGCGGCCGTAGTTCTCTGGTCGTCCATAGTGACCGGAAGCCGGCTGAGGCGAGTAAGGGACAACTTGCATGCCACCGGGAATAGAGCCTGCCGGGGCACCGCTGCGTGTGGCATATGCCGAAGCGGCTGGACCACCGAAGCGTTCGTTAAGCTGCTCTAGCAGCGTGCTCCCAACATAGTATGTGGCGATGTGGACGGCATCCGCAACGCCCATTACAACAAGGGATCGCTCGCTTGACATGGGTAGGCAGGAGTCAGAGGCATTGAGCCGGGCACCGGAAGCTTCCTGGATCTCACGAATTCTAGCACCACCCTTACCAATGATAGAGCCAATGAGAATGTGGGGGATCAGGAGACGTAGGGGATATGTCTTGGAAGAAGCGGTAGAGGCTTCACCAAGCGGCTCGTTGTTCAGCGTGCGAATAATTAAGCCAAATGCCTAGGAGAAAGTTAGCTCGGTGCCATTGAGACGGGAACAAGCTCAAGTGGACTTGCCTTGGCAACAGCGTCTACTATTCCGCTGACTGTCAGGATTCGCTCGACAGCACCCTTCTGGTAGTCGCTGACGGTGCATTTGGCATTCGACATTTTCCTAATGTTAGAAACGTTCTCGCCACCTTTACCAATGATTGTGGCGGCTTCCGGACTCGAGATGACAGCTCGAATGTGAATCCAAGATGTCTCGTCGTGAGCAGCAGCAGAGTTTGCCGCAGTGTCGCTCGATGCCGTGGCATTGGATGCACCAGCGGCCTTCGTATCGCTGCCTCCGTCTGTTACAGGAACGTCTGGCTGATCTGACTTGCTGCCATCTTCGTCTCCGTTCTTGTCGGCGACGTCAATTGTGGATTCGCTAGCTTCCCTCTCTTCATCATTCTTGATGACCTTATCCAGTGCTGGGCGCTTCGCGTCAGGTTGGTCCGTGGCACGGGACGGCGAGGAAGCCTCCTCCAGAGGACGCTTCGTCGAGGTTGGCTGGGGCGGCGAGGCAGACATTTCTTCTCCCCCTTTTTTTTATTATTGATTGACGTAAGATATCACAAGCACCCAGGAGTTCTAGGCGGGACTGTTCTTTTGGTAATTGGCAAATGATGAGAGATTTTTCAAGATCTCTCTGCTATATTTAACGTCTTTTATCTACACTCAGGGGTTTTCGAAAGGAAAACGTGCTGGTGTAGTGACGAGAATCGCTGGGGTCGGAAAATTTTCTGAAATGCTCGTGATGTGACTGGATATTTTGGCTAGTGTCGCGAGGGCGAGGCGAGTATGTGGACGTGGACGAGGACGTGGACGAGAACTGAGGGCGCGGGCCAAAGAAGTGAAAAAGACGGGCTCAGGATGTGGTAGAAGTGTCTGTCTTCCTGATGGTAACTGATCTGCAAATGTATAAAAGGAGGGTGCCGAAACGCCAGGGCTTTCCTTGGTGAAATACTCCTAGATGACTGTGGAGGAGAAAGAGGAGGGAGGTGCGATGATGGAAGTTGCTTTGGTTGGTAAGAAACGGAGTGAGGTGAAGCGATCGACTACTGGGATGAAGGTTTTCTCGCAAGCAGAACAAGGAAGAGGCAAGCGGTGAGCTCAAACCAAACCTTTGTTGGCCACACTTCAAAGTTAATAACCAACGGACTGATATCGCTTGGCGGATGGTCGTCGTGCGGAGGACGCCGCAAGGAGAGGGTAGCCGACAGTGGGATATGACCAGAGTGTCGCAAAAGGAGGGCGCAAATTGAGTCAGCAGGCGAGCATGGAATGTGCCAGTGAGCGGGGTGAGAATGGGTCGCAGGGAAAAGAGAAGATGGAGAAGTGCGGTCGAGGCCGTCAGGACGGTTGTCAGATATGGGACGTATGCACCCCAAGATGGAAAGACTCTCTGCCGAGCAGGAAATGATGGTCGCTCTGTCTGGAGGCGTGTCGCGAGAAGTTGGGAGAGCAAAGAGTCAGCCAGGGTGGAGAAGAAAGAGAAACCAGCTGTGTGAGGTGTGCGAGGCGTGTCACGTGGCAGCTGACCTAGTGGTGGGTTGCACGAGCGGCAAGCTGCACCGAGTGATTGGCGAACATGGTGAACGACGGGAGCCTGGCTGTTGATGAATGGATTGACAAGATTCTATTTTGAGCCATTTCATCTTACTGGGGGATCTTGAATAAAAAACCGGCCATGACCTGACTTGAAATACGGATGTCGGCATGAATAGGAGGCAATGGTAATTCTTGCACCTCATCACAGCTGGCCTCGCATGAGCCCACCCACATAAGTCATACACACTGTGTGTGATATATTGCCATTTGACCTACTCGCCGCAAACTCACCTTCGGGCGTGCATGTGCCGCAGTAATTGATCCCTTCCCAATCATCTCACACGCCTCCTTTTTTATAAACGAGGTCAAACTCTGTGACTTATATAAGCTCATTTGCAACATCGCTGTCAACGACCAACGCGTGTGCGAGATGCTCGCCCGCTCACTCACCCACTCATCAACTTCCCACCTGCACATCACAAACAACAATGGATGACGTCTCGCGAGCCACTGAGGCCGACGTCTACGCGGCAAACCTGAGTTTCACCCTGCAAGAGCTACAACGCAAAGTCCGCGACCACCAAGCCAAGCTCGATAAAGTGAGTTTCAGACGCGTTATTCGCGCTCCCTCCACGATGCCCTCACTGACTCTCAAAAACCACCAGATCCGTTCCGAGCAAACAGAAGTCTCCCTATCACCAGAAGACCAAGCCACTGTCATAAAAACCGCTCTAACAAACATCAACACCACATCGGAGCCCTTCCTCCCCTTCGCCGGCTCCGTCCTGCCCGCGCTCCTCGCCCTCCGCCGCGCGCACCAAACCATCACCGAGTCAAGGGCGTACCTGGAATCCCACGCCTCCGAGGCAGAGCGTGAACGCAAGCAGCTCGAGTCTGACCGCACCAACCTCAAGGACCAGCATCTCCTCACGGATGCGCTCACGTCGAGAATCGCAGCCCTGCGGCAGGAACTCGTGGCCAAGGCTGAGATGAGACCCGAAGACAGCGCCCGCGAAAAGATGGATGAGCTGCGTGCGAAGACAAAGGCTTACGACAAAGAGAGGAAACAGCTCATGAGGGCGTTGCTGGACTTTATTGACAATCAGCTTGCTCCCATGCTAGCGGCCGAGGAGCTGGGCGGTCCTGTGGTGGGGGATGTTATGGAAGTTGATCCTGATGACTTGGCGGCCGGGTTCAACGCCCAGGGGAAGCTGAAGAAGTCCAAGGGTGTTGGGGAGGATAAGCGGCAGAGAAGGATAGATGAGATTTGGGGAGCGGCGGCCGGAAGGACCAGCGGCGGCGGCGGCGGTAGAGTGGATGGGGAGGAGGAGATCCAGGCGGCGGGGAGGGAGATGCGCGAGTTGACCGAGGAGTTATCAAATAGGTTGGTTCAGGCAAAGGGGGATAATTCAGCATCGTATGTGGTGCTGGAACGGGAGTCGGCGGCGGCGAGGTTCTTGGTGCGGAGCAAGGTTGCGCAGTTTCACCCCAAGGATGCCAACAGGCTGCGGCTGATTGACTTTGGAAGAGACTTGGAAAATTAACCAGACTGGTGTTTCTACATGTAAATATTCAAAAGATTATAAGCTCCTATCGCCATTACCGGAGCGCGTGCGATGCCCAGATGAATGCGGATGAGATTGCAACAACAAAAACGCTCAAGCCTCTTGTCCCCCGAAGTGTACGACCATGCATCCCACAACACAATACATCATCTATATCACCAGTTCCTCTACTATACCCTCTTTCGTTTCGTCTACATGTGAGATCAACCGTTCACCACAGATTGAACGCGGCAGGCTCTGGCCCCTTCGCGCCATTCTGTCCAGTCTGTTTTCCCGCCCACTCACTTGCCCGTCTACGCTCATCAGGGAAATCCTCCAGTCGAGAGAAGGCCAAATCCAATCTCCTGTCAGTGACGGTGAAATGTTCCGGCACATTACCCAAATCCTCGAGTTCGTAGTACACGTAACAGCTCTCCCACCAGGCGTCGCCCCGGATAACATGTCTTAACTGACAGCCTGGGCAGGTTTGCTTAGCAAGACCGCCGTTCGATTGGTCCTTCTTCTTGGACTTGGAGTATTTCTCTGCAGGCGGGTGATCTGAACCACCGTTCTTGGACTTGGAGGGTTTATCGTTGAACGAAGCTTCCCTATCTGCCGTTTTGAATTGGGGCTGTTGCTCGTCGGCGACAACTGCGTCTTGCTTGGCCTTCGTTGCCTTCTTGGACGGGTTTGCCGAGTCAACTCCATTCTGTTTAGTTGTGTGATTTTGAACAAGGTGGTTCCGCGTCTCGACCTCCACGGAGATTGGTAGCTCCGGCTCTCCAAGCGTTGTGCCACCGGAAACAGAGGCCGAAGCGGGTGTCGCACCAGACAGGTCCTTAAGATAGGGCTTGTCATCCTGTATGCGCATCTTGTACTTGAATTCTTCGACGATGTCAAGCACCGTGCCGAAGGCTCGTCCAGGGGCCCCATCCAACTTGCGAGTCCACGCATCTACAAAGGGCTTATCAATTGTCTGGAAAGACTTGATCAGGTCCTCGACTGCGACAGCCTCATGAAACGTTGACGCTTGGAGTCGATGCAGTTCGACGGCGGCCAGGGCAATGGCCTCGATGAATACTTGCTTGTCATCCGTAGGCTGAGCTCTCAAATTGATGTCAAATTGTCGCTGAGCAATCGACGCCCTTTCTTCATCCGAGGGAGGGTTGATTCTCGACCTCAGACACAGGATCATATCTCGGGGCGTCTCTGCTCCATCTAGTCTCATGTAGGCACGGTATCTCTCAGGGATGCTTCTGTAAATGATTTTGTACAGCTTTTGAAGACCGTCTTTGGCGGCCGTGTAACCAGCAAGGTCGCTCAAGTATTTAGCAGTGTCCATGCGGTACTGTTCATACAAGACATCGTATTCTCGTGTAGAGAGAGAATGAGCATGCCTCGCCTGCTCAACCCGCAAATCGTACACCTTGTCCGTCTCGTACTGCTCTCTAGCCGGGAACTGTTTTAAGATGGGTCGTTTCGGGACGGTAGGCTTGATGGGTTCGTTCAGACGGTGGTCTTTGCCGTCGGGATCGACATATTTCCAGATATCCAAGGCCCTTGAGATGGCGGTGACATCGTCAAACCAGGCTGGCCAGTCCGTACGATCTCCGAGGAAGGCGATGGACTCGAAGGGCCCTTCTGGTATCGGGATTGTGAGAGCCATTGCAGCGGGTATGCAACTCAACTGCACTTGCCTGCTCACAGGCGAAAGTTGATGTGCCTTGACAATTTGGAGATCTGTATCGCCAACCTGACCAGGCCTGTGGATGATTTGGTTTTTTTTTTTTCAAACAGTGGGAGGCAAAAAAAGGCACTACCAGGCAGTTAACCAGGTCAGGTAGCTAACTATCGCGGTTGATGCTATGATACACCATGGAATATTAGTGTATACCTACCTAGGTAGGTGCTTAATTGGCAAAATATTCTGCCAAACTGTACGGAGTACGCCTGGACCAGGGTGTTTTAGGGGGGCAGTGGATTGACGATAACCCACTTGTTATGCATCTGGTTGCTGCACAAGACTGTTGACGGTGTTCCCAGAACCCAATTAATATTAGCCACCGCCCACGCTTCCTAGTGACCGTAGCGGCTAGTGCTATCATTGGCCAATTCCCCCAACTGAAGCTGGCTGGGTTGGGTTTCGTCTGCCGTTGGCTCTGGTCAATTTGACCTGTCAGCCAGTCGGCACTCCACGTCGCGCGTCGTCCTAGCAAAGTCGCGTCTCCCTCGCTTCCCAACCCCACGCCCTTAACCAGACAGCTCAGCCGACATGCGCGACACACCAGAATAGTCCATCCAAATACCAACCATTCTTCCTTCTCACCCTACCAACATCCAATTCATCTTCCCCTTTGCACCTCTCCCACCCACAATGTCTGCCGCCCCCGACTCCGTCGCCGCCGCAACCACCTCACCGCCAGCCAAGCGCGTCAAGACCGATCTCTCCACCATGGAGGCCCCTCCCGCATTGCAAGTCAAGAAGCTGTCCGACAAGGCTCGTCTACCTACCCGCGGCAGTGCCTTTGCCGCCGGCTACGACATCTACGCTTCCAAGGATACCACCGTCCCCGCGAGGGGCAAGGTCCTCGTCGATACAGACATTAGCATTGCCGTGCCCGCTGGAACTTGTAAGTCCACCCTCATTCTGGAGAAAATGGCCCAAAAAAAATCCTCGAAAGCTAATTTGGTCCTGGTGACAGATGGCCGTATCGCCCCCCGTTCAGGACTGGCATCCAAGCACTTCATTGACACCGGCGCCGGCGTCATCGACGCCGACTACAGGGGCCAAGTCAAGGTGTTGCTGTTCAACCACGCCGAGACCGACTTTGAGATCAAGGAGGGTGATCGTATTGCCCAGCTGGTTATTGAGCGGATTTATACCCCAGAGGTTGTGGAGGTACAGGAGTTGGAAGAGAGTGTTCGTGGAGCCGGTGGTTTCGGCAGCACTGGTGGATTCGCCAATGGCACTGCTGCTTGAAAATGGAAGAGTTTCCAGGAAGCGATCGATGGCGCGCAGGGGACGAGGCTAAAAGCTGAAATAAATAAGTGCCTCTGGCAGCCCATCTTCCACGATAATGCATGATGATTATTTTCCTTGGTTTTTAAAACTAAGCTCATAGAGAGCTTCACCTAGAGTCAAGAACTTGCAATAAAACACGTCACGCCCAATTCTTGAACTTTGACGCGATCAATGTGTGAATTATAGCATGGCTTAATGCATACGCGAATCTATGTCTTTCTTCGCTCTCTTACTTGACCATGTTCCCCAACTCTAAATTTGCTGTGCTTTAAACTGCACGCCAGGACTCCTCAAAACATCCAAATTCTGCACCAACTGCAACTCCGAAGCCTTGGACGTGATCTGCCGCTCCCCCTTTCTATTCACTCTTTCCTCCTCTGTCAACCGCGCTCTCGTCCTTTCAATTATACCCGGCATAGCGTCTCTCGTCTTGGTCAATACTTCGTGCATACTGGCCAATACCTTTTCTGCAGCTCGCGCGAGCGGCAACTGTGCAGCAGACACAGTATCGTCACTTAACCAGTTTGCGCGATTGATAAGCCCCGGAACGGATTGAACCGCCTCGCGCATCCGGGCTGTTACGAGAGCTCCAAACATATCGCCCGTGCCGCAGAAGTAGCAATCAATCGAAGGGAAAGTAATTTTGAAGAGGCGTGCTTTTCCGATTGATGTCATACTTGAGCCGATGACGGATAAGTGCGAGGGCGGTTGTCCTGGTGGTGAGAAGTTGACGGATGTGATGATGACGTGAGGGATGCGGTACTTGTCATGGAGGGCTTGGATAGCTGTGTTGAGAGATTCCATATCAACAATTTTGACTTCTGACAGAAGTCTGAGAACATCAGGTTAGCAACGGGTTGATCATAGTCGTCAAGATTGAAGCGAAAACATACTCGGCCTCAAACTGATTCGGCAGAATCAAGTCGGCATGCTCGATCAGTTCCTTGTAGGCGGGAACAACATCCTCGGCGACATAAATTTTGCCATTATCGCCCATTACCGGATCAAGAACCCAGAAAAAGTTCCCTGGCGTTCCCTTGTTCTTGTTCTTGAGTTCCTTGCCGATGTTCCCCACCGAGGCTACGGCCTCCGCTCCAGGTATGTATCCCGACAACATCATGTCGAAGTCGTCTAGATAAGACTGGCGCAAACCATCGTACAAGTCTGTGATTTCTTGGGCAGACACTGTTGTGCCCGTCCACTGCCTATACCCTGTGTGGTTGCCTTCACGACATTAGCAAACCGATGATGAAACGACAGGGGTGAGACCATATGTACTGAATTGAACGGTGTTTAGGGCGGCAACGTCGTAGCCAAGCGACTGAAGAGTGAAAACGGCGATTTTGTTTCCAACATAACTAAACGAGAATATCAGCAGGCTTGTCTCTTCCATTGCCGCCGTTGGTGATGCATGCGGGGCAAGAAAGCCAGCCAACTCTGCCACCACCTACCCAGATACTACCTAACGACTGATGAGCAAGTCATTTCCAAGCCAAAGTTAAGTTCATGGACGAAAACATACATGGCTCGCAACGGCGAGGACCCTCGGGGCTGGCGCAGGCGCTGAGGCCGTCATACTCCTGGATCCTAGTGTGAAGTTGCAACTGCGAACTGGTGAGGCCTTGAGACACAGTGTCTGGTTGCTCCGATAACGGTTATTCAGGAGTGGCAGACGCCGCGTACTAAGTACGCTGAGCAACGTGCAGGTAACCTAAGGTGTCCCACTAAATGAAAGCAGCGAGATAGGGTGAGGTTCAGGATCACAGCCGTGGTTTTTGTTTTTGTTTTTTTCTCGGCTCCTGAGGCCTGTAGAGTTGTTTCCTCGAAATGTGCAATCAATGGATCACTTGCCTCTCGAAGCAAAAGGCGCATGTCCGACAATGGACTTGCCCCAGACCTATTTGTCAGGTGCTGGAAAGTGGGCACTAGGAAGGAGCACGCTAGACATGGGAGCCGCTGCAGGCGTCAACCGTTTCCTTTAACTTGGGTAGTAACATGCTCAACGTCGTGACGTCTGGTTTGTAGATGAATAGTCCAAGGGGCAAGAAGGAGAGAAATGTGTGCATCTCGTAGGGCAATCACGTTCGAGCCCGTACCACACCACGTGCCGCCCCTCGATATGAGTAATTGTACGGAGTACTCCGTACCAGACCTACACATGTACCTGCACCTACTACGGTACTACGTAACTGGGACGCCGAGAGGTCGATTCTCTTGACAGCAGAATGCTATTGTTGCTCTGGAAATGTTGCTTACTAGCTCAGGCACCTACACACTTCTTAATTAATCAAGTTGTGATCACCATTAAAGTCATCTATCATAACACCCGTACATATATGCAATGCTCAAATCCAAAATATGTGGTCAAGCAGCCTCTCCAAGTAAATGCTACAAACGCCATGCATGCCATGAAATAAGCAAAATCTCAACCAAATGTCCCTACATCTCTTCCAAATCGTCTTCTGACACAGCTGAAACAAAGGCAAAGTTGAGCCAGTGTAGCCAAGTCTTGTTCTTCTCCTTATTCTCCTTATTCTTCTTCTTCTTTTTCTTCTTATCCGCGTCTACGTCACCACTACCACCATCACCTTCTGCAATCTCATTGTTTTTGCTGCGTTGGCCCATGCGGTATGCCAGATGCAGATAGCTTCGGACGGTCAAGTCCTTGAGTTTGAACTGTTTGTCATCGAATGTGCTGTACTCGACCTCGAATTGGAATTTGCGTGGTTGGGCTGGCTTGTGTTTTGGTTTCTTGTCGCCGTGGTTGCCATCATGCCATTTAGATCCTTCGATGCCGTCTAACTCAGGTTGATCATTGTTTATGTGGGTGAGGTTGGCAAAGTATTGAGTGTACCCTGTCAAGGTAAACTGCTGTGGGTAATAGGCTGGCCCAGGTAGCGCTGTTTTGGGAGGATCATCTGGGATGATCAAGTTTGGATCCTTGGGCTTTTGTTTTCCCTCCTTTCCTTTCTTCCCCTTCTTCCCCTTCTTATTCTTTTTAATGCTAACGGATCGCAGCTCCAAATTCTCAGTCGACTGCACTTTCTCCATTGCATTCTTTTCCTTCCAAACAGTAGCATTTTCCAGCCCTGTCACGTTGTATTCGAAAACTCGCAAGCTTGGAAAGTAATTGGGTACCACACTTGGACTGATAAAGGAAAGCTGATATCGTTCGGCATACTTTCCCCCAATCTTCTTGAAGCCCTTCTTCTTTTCCTTCTTCCCAGTTTCGACCTCGGCGTGGTCATCCTCTTCATTAAGCACCTCAATGGCGGAACCAGGAATGTCGCCCCAAATGTCCCGCAGCTCTTGGAGGTAGTCCTCTTTACCTTGGGCTGAGAGCTCGGACTCGTTGATCGACTTTCGAAAGACGCTACGTGCGGCAGGACTCTGACCCGCTGCCACGTCCAAGTCGATATCCTTGGTGTCGCTCAGAAGGAAGTGATCGATATTCATGTGGCCAAATAGCGAGGCGACAACAACGTCCCGGTACTTTTGAAGCCATAGGGTATATCGCTGCCAGCAAGTTTCATCCCAATTCTGCTTGCTATCGGTTCTTGCGGGTGGGACGTGACCCATAAGGATAGCTTTCGTGCCCGTCTGTCGCATAAGATCCAACTGCACCCGAAGCCATTCCATATGCTTGTACCCGGGCTCGGACGGTAGCGCGCAACCATCCACAGCAGCATTACGGTCAAAGAAGTACATTGTGTTGAGACTAAAGACTGTAAGCTTTCCGGGGATGACGTCAACATGGAACCAGCCGCCGAATTGGAAAGAATGGCGCTGCTCCTCCGGGATGAATCGATCCCAAATCTCCCCATAAGCGGCGAACCAGTGATTAGGGCCAGGGTACATAATGTTGTGAGGTAGAAAATCATTGTTTCCGAATGTCGGTATTATGGGAACCTCAAGCTTCCCCTCGGGTGAGCTAAAAGTCTTGATGATTTTATCAGTAACGACCTTGTTGCTATCGAGGACAGTCTTGTCGGTTCGCGGATGCGCTTCATCGCTGTCGTGTCGCGCCGTGTCGCCTGTCCATATTACAAAATCAATGTCGTCCTTGATATTCTCTTGTATCCACTGGAAGGTGGCGTCCACGAGGGAAAATGGCGAGTCGCAGTCAGTTTTTTCTGCTCCATACGTCCCAGCCATGCCATTGCCGCGATGGCACGCGATACCGTCTTCGGTTGATGTGTGAGGCTTGTAAAACTCATCAGGGTGAAAGTCTGAATGATTCTCTTGTGAGTAAATGCTGGTCGCCAGGAAAGGCAAAAGAGTGGGATGGGACGGCAGCGAACCTGTTATATGCAGGAACCGACCATTGAGCTTGCGTGATTGTAACTCTTGATGCGGCTGCGACTCATATTGCAGGGTCTTTTGGGGCAGGTCGCCCAAAATTGGCGACGAAATGACGCCACAGCTCAGTGCCAGAAATGTCTGAGCTTGCAGCCAAAAGGCTGGACAAGGCATGGTGGCGCCTAGTCACGGGTATCAAAATAAGGCAAGGCTTATTAAAAAAAAAAAAAAAAAGAGAGAGAGGGAGGGAGGATGGGAGAGGGAGAGGGAGAGGGATCGTCCTAAGATCTAGAGCCTAGTACAGCGCATAAGAATTTATGGAAACGGTTCGAGAAGACTGCTATCGACCAGGTTTATAACATTCGTTGACTCTTGCGAATAGATGACTGTCAGGTAGCAATGCTAAGATGGCGCAGAGAGGTCATGCGAATGAGCCAGGGAGTGTTGGTAGAGACGGCTCAATGTGAGTCGTCTCGGCCTCCAAAACCGAGCGCCTGATCCTGTGGTTTGACGAAAGCCAAGGGGCGGGTGGTTGCGTCGGTGGTGGACAGAAAATTCATCCAGTCGGGCGAGTCGGCGTTCTGACGCTGTATTCGTTCGGGTGACGTAAAAATGGGCTGCAGGTCCCAAGATCAGTGGGTGCCCCAGCAGAACGCGGTTGCACAAAGCAAGGGCAAAAGTCTGAGGGGCACAATGGACTGGTGAAGTTGAAGGAGAGGCGAGAGTTTGCAAGGTGCAAAACGCAAAGCGCAGAGAGAACTATCCGGTGGGAGATGAAAGATAATATGCCATGTTCGTTCACTCAGACTCATGAGTCGTTAGTAGCAAGCTAGCAAGAGAATCTGGGGCAAGTGCATCCGATGCGCTTTCCACTTGCCGCTTCCCACTTCCCATGGCCCTAATAAATTCCAAAACTCCAAAGCTTGAACCACCAAGCTATCCCAAACCTGGCCCCGGCAACTCGGACAAGCCATTCTTAGAGCATCTCATGCTCCTCACTCTGGCTGCAACTATACTCTTCTCGAGGCCCCAATCCAAGCAGTGATTGGTATATTCGGCTCCGCATAAATGGCAAGTGTCTATTCAGCCACTCCATGTTACCATCACGGGCCGCCCGCCGATCGTGGATGGGCCAATGTTCATGCATCACCGCCAGCACGTGGGCCAGTGACACGGCGTCGAGTTGTCAACTGGTGCAAATTCCTAGCAGCCGCCGTCTCGGCGACTGCGACAGCGCCACCGCGAATAGGAGGGCATGGAGGGGCACGCGACCTCGTTTATGGCCCTTAGGCTCACCAGACGTTTCCACACAGTCACCCACGCATGGCATCCGCCTCGGACTTCAACGGATTTCAACACCTTGATGGACTACAATGTGTCATCCTCGGCCCCCTCTGTGGCAGTGAAATGCTGGTGATGGTGCGTTGCTGCTCGCCTGACCATGCGCGTTTGCTCAAGTAGCAGATGACAATCTTATAATACAGTGTGTTGAAGAACATGATTTGCTTATCCAAGTTTCCACTAGCGTGTTGGCAGCAACTATTTTGCGACATCAACAAAGGTACAAAGATGGGCCGCAGTCTTTCATTTCACGCGGTAGAAGCGCTTATTTCGATTCAAGTCTCGAACCCGTATTCCGGCCATCCTATTTCACACTCCGACGTCTAATGGGTAGCTATCTACCGCTCCAACGCCCCGCGATGGACAAGCCTCGGCGTTGAATAGTTTCGTAACGGTATCCAAGTCGTCGTTAGGATCGGGGCCCTTCCCAATGTCCCCGTACTTGAAGACCTGGCTCCCCATTTCTTATAACACCTTGTGGCATGTTGGTCCTGCATCAATCACTCTTGGATTGTCTGCCTTGCTGCGATTGAAGGTTCGTGTTGTCTACGAAGAGTGCAGAAACGTGGGTATTAAATCGTCTTGGTGGTTGAGTATCAGTCCTGTCCTTCATTGACAAGAGAGATTATGCATTTTGCAGCTTAGAAAGTTCCCATCTGCCCACGCAATCTTCTTCCGGTGCTAACACTGGGACTATGGAGTGGTACGGCTCCAAGTCGTCTGCCCCAACATTATCACAGACATGCATCCAGG